CTTAAGCATCCTAAAAAATTTTGAAGGGCGTCCAACAAATCTTCGTAAAGTTGGTTATTCACACCAACTTTGTCTTTGACGGCCTTACCATCGATGTGTAGGCTAAGTAACATGTAGACATCTTGTAGCATGAAAGTGAATTCACCGAAAGGAAGATGAAATATGTGGGTCTCTGGTCTCCAACGTTCTAGCAAGGCTAGAAAAAATTTGGGGTCTAGTGAGTATGATTTGATTTTTATCAAATCACCAAAGCCACATGAATTTAAATATTCTTCTATGAATGGGTCGTGTGGTATGTAGTCATGCACACAACAGCAAAACCTTGATATATTCTGCCAAAGAATATAAATATCCTTAGTTTTAAAGAAAAATACAACTTAGTAAGGGATGACAAAACAAATAAAGTAAAACACTTATAAACTCTGTGATGTTCTCAATTGTTCCTCTGTGATCGTTGCCCATTGTGAGTAGAGACATTTTTTAGAAATCTGTATAAAGGTAGGTTGTGATGAAGTTATTGGCTTGCTGAAAGCTTGATGAGTAGAGTTTGTGATAGATGAGAAGAGTTTGTAATGGATGAGAAGAGTTTGTACCGTGATGAACATTTATTTATAATGGTGAAATATGATGAGAGGAGTCACATGAAAATGCATGGTGAAATATGATGAACTTTGTGCAAGGAATCGCGTAAGTGTTCTCTTACAAGATTCTTGGTCATTGTCATGCAGAGAATCTTGCAGTCATTGCATGTGAAGTCATTGCTTGATGAAGTGTAGTCTTGTCATACAGAGAATCACATGAGGCATATAAGACAATGAATAGTGTGTTTGTAAGACTTTAATGTCTTGTAAGTGTAGCTGCTAGAACTTAGTGTAGTCTTGGAAGTGTAGTCCTGCAAGAATATTAGTGTAGGCATGTGAGAACTTCCACTATTAATGCATGGTGAAACATGATGAACTTTGTGCAAGGAGTCGTGTAAGTGTTCTCTTACAAAGTTCTTAGTCATTGTCATGCAGAGAATCTTGCAGTCATTGCATGTGAAGTCATTGCTTGATAAAGTGTAGTCTTGTCATGCAGAGAATCACATGAGGCATGTAAGACAATGAATAGTGTGCTTGTAAGACTTCAATGTCTTGTAAGAATAGTTGCTAAAACTTTAGTGTAATCTTGGAAGTGTAGTCCTGTAAGACTATTAGTGTAGGCATGTGAGAACTTCCACTATTAATACATGGTGAAATGTGATGAACTTTGTGTAAGGAATCGTGTACACCATGTATTTGTAAATTAAGGAATTGATATTTTTAAAATTTATATAGTCATTATTGTATTTGTAAAATAAGAAAGTGTAGTCTTGTCATGCAGAGAATCACATGAGGCATGCAAGACAATGATTTTATTTTTTACTACTTTAAGAATTTAATGTCTTGTAAGTGTAGTTGGTAAGACTTTAGTATAGCCTTTGAAGTGTAGTCTTGCAAGACTATTAGTGTAGGCATGTAAGAATCTTGTAGGCATGCAAGACTATATGATAGCTTGTAGGCATGATAAGAAGTGTGCATGCATGTAATAATGAATAGTGTGCTAAAGAAGCTAAACTTCGTGTACACCATGTCATAATAATAAATGATAGTAGGTAATAATAATAACAATAATAATAATAATAATAATAATAATAATAACAATAATAATAATAATAATAATAATAATAATAATAATAATAATAATCACTAGTAAAAAAATAACTTTTTAGCAGAGGTTTTTAAGTCAGTTCACTTGCCACCTGACTTAAGAAATGATACGGTGGCAATTTCGTAAATATTGACAACTTAGTTAGGTCGGGTGCATTTAAAACCGACCTAAAAAAAATTAAAATATATATATTTTTTATATTAAATTTCTTAAGTCACATGTATGTGTTTATTAATTGACTTAAAAAATCTAGTTTTTAAGTCAGGTGTCAGCCACCTGACCTAAGAAGTTTTATATACTCCTAACAAAACGCAGGTTCGATTCCAACTTGAAACAAGTTAGTGAAATAAAAAAATAATACTAAAAAAATCTTCTCTTCCTCTTCGTTTCCAGATTTAGGTTTCGTCACTATACTCACACTTTTCTCTCCAGGTTCTCTCTCTTCTCCCTAGTCGCCACTCTCCTTCGAAAATCCCATTTCCCTCTTCATCTTCCCCTCACCGTGAAGTACCATCACCATTGTCCAACTACCCTCCACCGTAAACCCTCCGATTTCGTCTTCCTCCGTCAACTTTCCATCTCCTTCTCATCACCGAGAAACCCTATCCTTTATTTTCACCGTAAATCCTCAGTCCACCATTGAAACCCCTCAAACCTTTGTTTCCTCCGCAATACTACCAGTGTCTTCTTCTTCATCAACAAATCCTAACCTCAAAACCCCCGTCGATACACCATACTTCGTTATCCTTCTCGCGACTTGCAGACAATATTAAAAAAGGCGGCTCAGCGGTCAAGAGTTTGTGCTGGCTAGTTACAACTCAGCAGCTCGCGAAAATAACAGTGACTCGGTTTTGGAGCATTGGTTTGATTAGAAGTGGTACATTGTTACCATTCGACATGGTGAGTGATTCTGTTATGCGATACCATACTGCAACAGCAACTCGAAGGAATGGAATTCTTTGACTAATGATCCTTATATGGTGGTAATCGATGTACAAAATAACTCCGAAACCAGAATACAAAAGCTTACAAGAGTTGTTGGTCCCTGCACGACATCATTTTGTGGAGTTGTTCGTGTCGGTAAAATTTTGAAACTCTCTGTGTAAGCATCTGTAATGAATATCACTTGGTTGGTTTTGTTTTGTTGAGAATCAATTACTTTAAACTTTTCACAATCTGTTTGTTTGCTAGTTAAATTTGTGTTAAACTCATAATCAATATGGTTCAATATGAACTCTCTTTTCTTCTAAAATAATGTTGCATTATGCTAGAATCTCACATTATTTGTGTTGTTTTGGTTGCGTGAAATTTTTGATAGACTGTGTATGTTGTTGCTGCTAGTTCAATGAGAGCGATCATGGTAGGAGAAGTCTTTAGGAGGGAGCATCCACCGGAATTATGACCTTTTACTCAAGCACAGACTACATATAGTAGGAGAAGTAAAATATGCAGTCCATCATTGTTTGATGACCAACCATGGTGTTAAACTTGAGAATTTGAAGCGAGTTCTTAGTCACCCTCAGGTGTGATTCTGACATTTTATACCTTTTTTCCTTCTTCTCTTCCAACAATAAACTCATCGAAGATAGTGTTATCTTAGGCTCTTGCACAATGTGAGAACACCTTGACAAGATTTGGCTTAGTCAGAGAAGCAGTTGATGATACAGCCGGTGCTGCAAAGGTAATTGTGGAATTGTTGGAAGCTATTTTTCTTGTATCATTTCAAGTGTTTCCATTTATTAATGGTCACATTTATGTACATTTGACTTGCTTAGAAATGAAGCACTAGATAGCTCACAATTTGTTTTGATTTTAAAAAGTCTGGTTAACAAATGTCCTTAGGGTACTGGTTAAAGAATCAAGTAATGAAAAGGTCATCCACTAAATATCAGTTAATGATTGTATATTGCACCTTGGGGTGAAGGATGGATAGATTATCATTTTCTGCTGTTGTTGTTGACATGATTATCAATATTAGTTATCCTAACACAGTTACGGATTATAGCATGTTGCTTTCCATAAACTACAAGATGTAGGAGTTGTTGCTAGCTTAGCTGCCGCAGAGATCTATGGCTTAAATATACTTGCTCAAGACATCCAGGTTTGAATCTTTGTGTTGCTCTGTTTTAAATGACATGGTAGACAATTTGTGTTTATCTTAAATTTGATGCCTGATGGATTTGCATTGGCAGGATGATAGTGATAATATCACTCGATTTTTAGTGTTGGCACGAGAACCTATACTTCCAGGCACAGACAGGCCATTTAATAGGTATGACTTATTGAATGATTAGAGAAGAAAAGGAATGATCCCTACACTGCAGAATTACATCTCCACACCAAGATATCTCTCTCAAACACACAATCGTACTCTCCCGTCCCGTAACCGTTTATAAAATTATTCATGTATCAACTCTCCTGTCCCATAACCCCGCATATAAAATTATTCAAAGTGTCTGTATTTCTTATTGTTTTGTTGTTTATGTCAATGTGGTTCAATCCCTCCCCTTTCATACCTTCTCAGAAAATTAAAAGAAAAGAAGAAAGATATCCAATGTAAATATTGAGGACTTAACTTCCTGCTAGACGAATAAGTTCATGTTGTTTGGCAAGAAATTCAGGACACAACTTCCTCAAGCTGTAGGCGCTACTTATTCGCTTAAAATGGACGGAAAAAGTGCTTGTGCAGTCACTTTTTGCGGGGATGGAAGTACTAGTGAGGTTAGTAATGATGAAAACGAGCCAAGAAATTATAGAATATCACATCACTATGCTTCTAGATGATATTTGAAATATTGTAGGGAGATTGCTACTATGAACTTTGCAGCAGTAATGGAGGCACCAGTTGTTTTCATATATCGTAACAACGGATGGGCCATCAGTACCCCTGCCGAAGAACAATTTCGAAGTACTCTATACAAATTCTTCCTACTTAAGTTGTTTTTTTCAAACAAGCTCTATATCATTCTCAAGTCTATGTGATTAATTTTGGTGTTTGGTTAGGTGATGGTATTGTGGTGAAAGGTCAAGCTTATGGCATATGGAGTATCAGAGTAGATGGAAACGATGTTCTTGTTGTTTATAGCGCAGTTCATACTGCACGCAAAATATCTATAAAAGAACAAAGACCGATTTTAATTAAGGTATATATGATTGATCTTTGAATTTCATTTCACGCCAAGATGAGATTATCATTATTAATCTAATGCTGAATGAATGGTGTTCAGGCTCTTACTTATAGAGTAGGGCACCACTCTACATCTGACGATTCAACTAAGTACTGATCAACCGGTGAAATTGAATACTGGAAG